TAGTCTGAGCGACCCTTTCTGCTTTCTCTTCTCTCTCTCTCTCTCTCTCTCTCTCTCTAAAACCGTCGTCTCGCCTTCAAGAAACAGCAAATACTCGATAATCCCTTCTCCCCTTTTCTTTCTTTTATCATTTTAACCAAGAAAAATCCAATCTTTGAGTGTTTACTCTGTAGGATTATAACAAAATTTGTCGGATTTATGTGAAACCCACCTTACTCTCATCGACGACCCACTGTGTTCTTTTATCATCATCGTATTAACCTCAAAAAAAGGAAAAAAAAAAGGGGTGTGAATGAGAGAGTAAATTCAATTATCAGATCGCTTGCTCCGCCGATCGTCTTGTTTCATTCCGAGGTCTGAGTTTGCATTTTTGTGAAGAATTTTTTAGATTATTTATGTGATTGAGATCGAAAATTTCTAAAGGGGATCTGCGATTTTGTGGTGTATATAAGCTGCCCTTTCATTTTATTCACTTACAGTAAAAGAATATTTTTAATTTTTAATTTTTTTTTGGTCCTAAAGAAAGCCTTTTTTTTTTGATTTGGTGATGGATTTTGTACCATTTAGAGCTTGTTGCCCGGCTTATGGACAAGCCCATTTGTGTAAATAGTTAATAATTTTGGTCTTATTTTGCAAAGTTACAATCTTTTTATTGTTCTTGTTTAGCTATAGTAAGCTCCTTTTTTGCTGTGAAGGGTTGCAAATATTTTTTCTGAAATAATATCCAGTGTGACTCAAGTATTATATCAATAATGTGCAATATATAATACCAAAGAAGAAAAGTATACAGTTTTCTCTGAACAGGCTCTTTTTGCTTTGTCCTTTTGCATTTTTATCATGTTCTTTTACATAATCATCACTTCCACTTTATGAATATTTATTATTTAGAGAGTGCAAGTTTTTTTCTTTTTCTTTATTGTTTTCTTCTGTTTTGTTTGTTTGTTTCTTTGTTTCTTTCATTTTTTTTGTTTCCTTGTCTGCAGGAGGCTGTAACTTGCATTCATAGTACTTCAATGTTTGTAATATGAAACTGTATATAAGCCCGTGCTTTCTAAGTATCAATTGGTTGTGGAGTCTTTTTAAGCCCTCTCATGAATTTCTAGAACTGCATTTACAAGTATTTGTTAGTCGATTGAGCAAAACGGGTTCTAAAACGGGTTTTATGCAAATATTTGCTTCGTTTGTTAGTCGATTAAGCAAATCGATCAACTGAATGATGACTTAGGAGCCACAATTGACATTGTTGTCTTGCCTCAAAGACTAAAGACTTGTAAAGTTGCAATCTTTGCCTGCAATTTAAAAACTTGAAGCAACTATTTGCATAAAACCCGTTTAGTATGTGCAAGTGCAGTTCTTTTGCATATCTTAACACATTCGCAAACTTATCCTTTAGACTTGAATTGACTCGGCTTTCTTTTATTATCTGCAGATCCTCGTGAAACTTTTGTACTTGTGCCCATAGTATTTTCCTTTTTTTTT